AAAAAAAAAAAAATCAAACAGATTAACAATGAACAACGATATCAATGGCTCCGGTGGTGCCGGAAATGGAACATGGCCATCCTCATCATCGTATTTGTCCGAAAACCGGACTTCATCAAGGGCCTTACTCGTTCCTGATTTTCTGACCAAAACTTTCAAGATTGTGACCGATCCAAGCACGAACTCGATCATTTCTTGGGCTCGATCGGGTGAAAGCTTCATCATCTGGGATCACATTCGGTTCTCCGCCGAAATTCTTCCCAAATACTTCAAACACAGCAACTTATCGAGCTTCGTCTACCAGCTTAACAACTACGTTAAGTATCCATATAATTTTTTTATTCTGTCCCATGCTTTTATTGTTCAATTATCTTTGCATGGATTAGTTAATATTAATATGTCATCTTATTGCAGTGTTTTAGGAAAATAGGAGTGGACCATCAGTGGGAGTACGAAAACCCAAACTTTCAAGCCGGAAAAGAATACTTGCTCACGAGCATTACCAAACGGGGCCAAAACCGGGAAAAAACGACCCGAATAAACCCTTCCCACCGGACCATAAACATAAACGCGGTGGAGATTAAGACGAACATGCTCAAGAACGGAATAAACGAGTCGAAGATGGAAATCGAGAAGCTCAAGGCCCGGCATTCGCGCATGGAGTCTCATGTCAAGAAAATCCAGTCGGAATTGAGAAAGTCCGAGGGAAAGTCGAGGAGGATGAGGGCTTGCTGGGCCGCGGCATGCGAAGAGATATTTAAGATGAGCAATAATAATAATAACAATAATGTGTTTGGTGATGATGATGATGATCATGAGGTGAAAAGGAAGAGGAAAATGGAAGGTGATGATAATACTAATATGGTTGATTATGAGTTTTTGAAGAGAATGATATTGCAAGAAGATGATGATGATGATGTGGTGGTGTGTGAAAATGAAGTTGGGAGTGAGATGGCAGATAAGCAGGCCAAGATTGCTAAGGATTTGGAGGGCCTAATTGCAAATATGGCTGATGATCAAGATGGTGATTGAAGAAACATTGTTACAATATATTAATAATTAGTAAGTATTTTCTTGTATGTTTTTTCCTTTCTTTTCTTTTTTGATTTTTTAATTGTTATGTCAAGAATCATGATATTTATTTGTTTTAGATTTTCAGAGGATATTGTTGTTAATTACAAAGCATGTCTTTCTAGGTTTGATATAGTCATGAAATTATTCGGTTTATTGTCTTTTTTACTCAATAGGGCTGCAAAACGAGTAGAGTGACTCGCGAGCGTTCGAGGCAAACGCTCGAGTTAGACTATTCCGAGCTCAACCTCGAGCATTTTGTTTGTACGGTTGAGCATTTGATGAGCCACTCAAAATTATCTAGATACTACCCTTTACTGAATATTTGATAATTAAAAATTTCGAGCAAATTTCGAGTGTTTGTGTTCTGTTACCGAGCCGAGAGCAAGACAAACTCATGAACATCGAGCAGGTGTAAAAAAATCGAGCATGGCTCGATAATGTCAATAATCGACTTGACTCGACTGATTTACATTCCTAGTGGTGTCTAAAGTGTTGATGGGTAATTTTGAAACAAGTGTTGGGGCTATTTGATGTTTTCTCATGAAACCTTGATTTGGAACAAATGCAAGGGACTATATACTTTGTATTGTCTTGAAATCTTGATTTGTGATTGTTTTAGTTAATAATTAATTAGCAATTTTTTTATGTGAAATATCCCATTCTCTTTGCGTTTTAGTCAATCGCTCTAAGCTTTTTTTTAAAAAAATTATTAACTATAGTTAATATATATATATAAAAACAAAAAAAAAAAAATCAGTTAAAACTAGATC